GTACAACCTGGATGCAGCACATCCTCTCACTGGTGCTGAATGGTGGAGATCTGACTCCAATCAATACAATTCCAAATTGGGACCGTGTCCCCTGGATGGGATCAAAAAGACTGGCAGAGATTGCAGATCAGCTGAAATCTCCACGTGCACTAGCCACACATTTATTATTTGCCAAGATGCCCCCATCCTTCCACACTTCCAAAGCAAAGGTAACACATTTAAAACTTTCCCGATAATATATGTTTTAATATTTGATGATGATAGGTTACATGTTTACCCTCTTTGTTGAAGGTGATCTACATCATGAGGAATCCAAAGGACGTCCTGGTGTCTTCATATTACTTTCACCAGATGGCATGTTTCCTCGACAATCCCAGAACTTTTGATGAGTTCTTTGACAATTTTCTGGAAGGCAAAGGTCAAACATCAAATTCTAGATTGGTTTAAAAATGTGTTTCATGGTGGTTAGTTCTTTTTCTTCATGAGGCATACACAGTAACTGAACTCAATAAGAGCTGAGTTAGCATGTTTATCCAAAAGTCTGTTTATTACAAGCACCAGGTGATGCAATCTGTTTTGTCCGCAGTCCTGTATGGAAAGTGGACGGATCATGTGAAGAGCTGGAGACGAGCAGGACTGGAAGACAGAATAATGTACATCACATATGAGGAAATGGCTCAAGTAAATGTCTCATAATCAATCAGTAAATATTTTTGTATTTGTTTTTAGTTGTTTTTTTAATCTAGTCACAGTTTTAGAGTATGAGCAGCATCTGATTGTTGCAACAGATGCATGGTTTACAATTTCACCGTTTTCAGTCTTAGAAACTATCTGCCCTGTTATTTTCACTGGGTTTGACATTAAAATGTTGTTTTTACTTTACTTTGTTGAAAAGAAGAGAAGCCTACTACGCCCAGCGACCTCCCTTTATCCCGTCTTGGTTTGAGAGGTGTCCGATGGCAGTTTCTATAAATGCCAAAATCCTCCCCAGGGAGCCGCGGCAAATCCCGTTTTTCAAACACTGGTCCTATAAAAACAGCTCCTGTCACTTCATGGTCTCACCCATCTGGGCTCATGACAGGGACAGCTGTTGTTGGTTCAGCATCTAGGGAACAGCAGAGAACATCTCGGCCAACAGAAGCTAGCCATTATCATTAGCAACTCCACCACACAACAGAACTCCTTCAGACTTGTTTTTTTTTTTGTGTGGAGATAAAACATCAACATTGCAGAGCAAACTGAGTCAGTGGTAGAGTTGTGTTGTTGTTATCCAATTGGAGGCGAGATGTCCACATATCAGGAAATACGTCTCTAAATCCTGCCATGATAAACTCTCCTCTGATGTGACATTCTGCTAGTTCCTGAAACAAGAGCATCTGATCTTTTGTTCCTCCCGTGTACGACTCCTACAAGAGACCACTGCAGATGTAATGATTAAACAAGCGTCCCACACCTTTAAAAACATACTGTTACCATAACTCTAATAAAGCAAGTATATCTCTTCCAGGACCTGCCTGCATCTATCAGGCGTGTTTCAGACTTCCTGTGCTGTAATCTGAGTGAAGAAGTCATCCAGAAGATAGCAAATTCGAGCTCTTTCAAGAGCATGAAGGCCAACCCCATGTCCAACTTCAGTACGGTCCCCAAGGGGCACATGGACATGGACAAGTCTGCTTTCCTGAGGAAAGGTGAGCCTCTTGTGCACACAGTAAATCTGACTGTGTTATGGTCATCAGTTATATCACAAAGTGGCACAAGTATGCAAAAATTCTTTTTCCAAGCTTTATTCGAATCTGCGTCATATGTGCAGTATCACGTATCCATCTTAATGCTCTCATTGCTTCTCCTTCTCTCCTACCTACATTCTCCTCTCCTATACTACCCCCTAGTGGTAGACACAACTAGTCGCGGACACGCCAACACAAGTATTCCACAAACCACAGTAAATAAGATGTTTAACACAACAATATCTTCTCACAAGGTTGAAAGTCACGTAATCACACCGGTGATTTAACAACTCTCGTACTGTCTGAGAACAACAGAGTAATCTTGGCAGGGGTGGTCTTTTCAGCCAGTATCTCTTGATGCCTTAGTTAAGTTGGTGGACGCAATTAAATCGAGTGGATCTCCTGAAGACATCATACAACCACGGCTGTTTAATGGTCTTTCATGGAATAGCACCATTAATATTTAAAGTTATTAATAGCAGTTTGGCCTCTTGCTATGTCCCAATTGATTTTAAAAAGACGGTTATTAACTCACTGTTAAAGAGATCGGGGTTAGATGTTATGCAGCCTTGCAACTACCGGCCGATTGCAAAGCTCCCTTTTCTGAGTAAAATCCTGGAAAAAATGTGTCTATACTCAATGGAATTCCTAGAAGAGTCTAACATCAGGGAAACTTTTCAGTCTGGCTTTAAAGCTTTTCATAGTATGGAAACGGCACTGATAAAGGTATTAAATGACATTATGTTGGAAACTGATAGGGGAAATCCTGCACTACTTGTTTTGTTGGACCTTACAGCTGCGTTTGACACAGTGGACCACAAAGTGTTGCTCCATCGTTTGGAGTATAATGTAGGAATCTCTGGTCTGGCCTTACACTGGTTCAGATCTTATTTGAAGGATAGGACTGTAAGTGTAAGGATGGGTGGGTTTAGTTCTGGATTCACACACCTGCGGTGGGGGGTGTCCCACAGGGTTCAATATTAGGACCACTATTGTTTTTGATTTACATTTTGGCACTGGGGGTTATCATGAGGAAGTATGGAATTCAATTTCCTATGTATGCTGACGATTGCCAACTTTACTTACCCTTGGATTATAGAAGCGACTGTCCCATTATTACCTTAATGCACTGTCTAACTGAAGTTAAGTCATGGTTGACGGACAATTTTTTATGTCTGAATGAAAGCAAGACTGAGGCAATGCTGTTTGGGTTACATCGTGATTTAGAGCGATCAAAACTGGATTGTTGGGATATGAATGCCTACCTACGTTTTTCGGCAGTCAACTTAGGGTTGACATTAGATAACACTTTCACCTTTGACGCACATGTGGGGGCGGTTGTATCGTCCTCTTTTTACCACTTGCAACGTCTGGCCAAAGTGAAGTCATTTTTAACTAGAAAGGACCTCAAGACTGTTGTGCATGCATTTATCACCTCTCGTTTAGACTGCTGTAACTCTGTCTTAATTGGGGAGAGACAGAGTACAGTAGCTTGTCTGCAGCTTGTGCAAAACGCTGCGGCAAGATTCCTAGAAAGGAAAAGGAAATATGATCATGTGACACCCATCCTGGCAGACCTGCACTGGTTACCGGTCGCTTTTAGAGTGAGTTTAAAAATTCTTTTATTGGTTTTTAAGGCATTGAACGGGATGGCACCAGAAAATTTATCTGACTTGTTACAGCCATATATACCTAGTCGTTTGCTCTGCTCAGAGAGTCACCATATGCTTCCAGACCCCGCAACTATGCTCAAAACAAGAGGAGACAGGGCATTTTCTGTAGCAGGCCCGAAATTATGGAATGATCTTCCATTATCTGTGCGACTCTCCACGTCAGAAGAGGTTTATAAGAAGGCACTGAAGACCCATTATTATAATCTGGCTTTTAAATCTGTGTGTTAACTGATGTTGTTTTGTATTTTGCAGTTTTTTATTTGGTTTCCTATATATTGTTTGTTTTTATCTTTTTTAGTTTAGTCTTGTTCAGCACCTTGGTGACATAATATATGTCTGTAAAGTGCTTTTATAAATAAAGGTGATGATGATGATGATGATGATGATGATGATGATGATGATGATGATGATGGACCAAATTTTCCAGGGGGAGCCACAGTGGGGCCAGTATTTTTTCATGGGGGCACAAGAAAAAAAGGGGAAATTAGGGCAATATCAAATTGTGTTTTGTCTCTGCCATGTGACTAATTTTGTGCATGTGCACAATTTCGCCAAATCTAGTACTGTGAAGCTACTCACTTTTTGTTCTCTTCTTTTTCATATCTGTCTTCACTATATGTTGGTGATCAAACTGATCACAATTTTTCCTTTACTTTTTTCATCTATGATCTTTTACAGCTGTATTTTACTAAAATAAGATTCCAAGTCAGACCAAGATTATCTTGGTCTGACTTTGTTGGTGTGGGGAGTTGTCAGCTGAATAGCACGGCAGCCTGGCAGCATTTCTATGGCGTTTAAAGCGTGCCACAACCCGTGCACGCGCATTGGGTCCACAGCGCGCGTGTGAACGGGACTCGCGAGCGCAAATATACATGGCAGCGCGCGTGTGAACGGGACTCGCGAGTGGAAATATACATGGCGAGAGGTCATTTGTGCACTGAGAGGGAGCAAACTGTGTCTGTGAGCGCACAAGGATGTGCACAAGTGACAAACCTGCGTGCGCGCGTTGTCAACGAGCACACGGCAGAGGAAAACGTGCCCGCGCGGCAGCCTCTGTGCGCGCTCGGCAGTCTCTCTGCGCGCTCGGTTTCTGACTCCTGCTCGCTCGGCTGTAAGGGCTTTTGGCACTCTGGAGGCGTGGCCTGTGGCAGATCTTCTCTGTCCTCTGATTGGTTAGTTTACCCCGCACTTTACCCTCTATCTATATAAAAAAGTCTGATATTCTGTAGTTGCTGGCATAGCTCAGCTGGGAGAGCGGGTGACTCTCGCCCTGGAGGATCCAGGTTCGAGTCCGGGCAAGGAAAATGCAGTAGATGTCATGTTAATTTTTCTTAATTTCAGGTATTTTACAGTTGTGACCGTTCAACTGTCATTAAACGTCCGAATGTTTGCTGGGCAGTGTTTTAAAAAGTGCACATAAGCTAGATGGTTTTAACCATATAAAATTACATTTTTTGTGATACTGGAAAAATACATACTGAAATAAAACTACTGGTTGAAAACTTTATGACTGTGATTGTACAATATATGACTCACTAATACACTGCAAACTCCCTTAGAGTGGGGCTTCCGAGTGGGGCTTCCAGAGAGAGAGAGAGAGAGAGAGAGAGAGAGAGAGAGAGAGAGAGAGAGAGAGAGAGAGAGAGAGAGAGAGAGAGAGAGAGAGAGAGAGAGAGAGAGAGAGAGAGAGAGAGAGAGAGAGAGAGAGAGAGAGAGAGAGAGAGAGAGAGAGAGAGAGAGAGAGAGAGAGAGAGAGAGAGAGAGAGAGAGAGTTCTTGCCTCATTAATGTATTGTTTATTTTTTTCAGTATTTAATTGACAAATTATCCTTTCAAATAATTAATTGATGAGTTACATAATTGTCCATTTAGAATTGTTGAATGGACTGAGTAAAGTTTGGTGCACTTTATATATTTCAAAACATGTTTTTTTTTTTATTTTAATGATGCATATAAATAATTTAAATGTTAATTTAATGAAATATTTCTATTTTTTCATTACCTCACCCTTGTTTTGACAGAAACGGAACCTTGCTGGATAATATCATGGAGAAACTATTTGTTCACAGTACATGGCTCAGTGAGGATCTGTGTAAAGGAGGAGATACTCAGAAATCTGTCTGCAGATTGTTACAACCCAGACTGGAAGTGGTGGGCTATAATAAGAAAGGAGACCAAACAGAGGAGTGGGGGTTCAACAACTGATTTATTTAACAAAAGTAAGGATTTACTAAAGCAAGTTAGTGAACAGAAAATGGCCAGTGAGGACTCTCCACCACACAGGAGAGACCCAGTGAAAGCAGAAAAACAGTAGGCTTTGTAGGCAGCACCACACCCTGAGCCCAGGTGCCTCCAAGGCTGCTTAACGAGCTGCCTACAACAGAAGAAAAACACAATTAAACACAAATGAAAACCCAATGAGACGGTGGGGGCATCACAACACGTTCAGGACTACCCAAACACCAGTAATTCTTGACTGCACTGATCTGCTTTAGTAAATCCTTACTTTGGTTAAATAAATCATTTGTTGAACCCCCACTCCTCTGTTTGGTCTCCTTTCTTATTACAGCCCACCAATTCCAGTCTGGGTTGTAACAATCTGCAGACAGATTTCTGAGCATCTCCTCCTTACAGATCCTCACTGAGCCAAGTACTGTGAACAAATAGTTTCTCCGTGATATTATCCAGCAAGGTCTTGTTTTTGTCAAAACAAGGGTGAGGTAATGAAGAAATAGAAATATTTCAATAAATTAACATTAAAATTATTTATATGCATAATAAAAAAACATGTTTTGAAATATATAAAGTGCACCAAACTTGACTCAGTCCATTCAACATTTCTAAATGGACAATTATGTAACTCATCAATTAATTATTTGAAAGGATAATTTGTCAATTAAATGCTGAAAAAAATAAACAATACATTAATGAGGCAAGAACTTTTTAAACTTGAACATACCTACACCCACAAGTCTATTTTTACCTGGTTAAAACCATCTAGCTTATGTGCACTTTTTAAAACACTGCCCAGCAAACATTCGGACATTTAATGACAGTTGAACGGTCACAACTGTAAAATAATATCACAGGAATTAGGAAAGAATAATATGACATCAACTCTATGTTACTTGGCCGGACTCGAACCTGGATCCTCCAGAGTGAAAGTCGCCCACTCTCCCAGCTGAGCTATGCCAGAAACTGCTAAATATCAGATTTTTTTATATAGATAGCTAGAGAGTAAAGTGCGGGGTAAACTAACCAATCAGAGGATAGGGAAGATCTGCCACAG